TTCAATGCATTTGCAACTGAGAGCTCGCCCTTTTCCATTCTTGAACGTTAAACAGTCACCCATGCCCGATGAATCAATAAATTAAATTCTCGTAATGCAATTATATCCACTGTAAATAGCGTTTGTTTACAGCTTTCTATACACTGGCATCGTAACCGTGCCATACGAAAACTCCATAGTATATACAATGAAACTAGTTTCAATTAAGGTGTATAGTCAACCATGTTAATAATGTATCTTTGATCATAAGGCCTAGTACCAACTCTTTTAATTAGAACTCGGCAATCGCGGTCAAACCACGAACAGTGATATTGTTCCACCACCAGCGGAACATTAAATTAGTAATCATATAAAACACCCAATAGCTAAATGATTCCGCACCCCACCGTATCGTAGCAAAATGAACTGGCTCATCTAAATGGCCACATTTCCAGCGCTTGAGTTACTTTTGTTTTACAAATCATCCTATTTCGAGTGCTATTATTATTTCATTTGTTATTATATTTTATTAAAAAAAAAATACTAGTAATTTGTGATGCATTATAATACAATTTGTTATTATAATTATTTTATTAAATTTATGAGAGTTTTTAGCATACTGTTGTCTTTTGAAAACTGTTCTCTTTTCTTATACTTGATAGCATAAGGTGTTGAATACCGTCGTTTCATTGGTATACCCTAGCCTGCAAGGTGTGACCATAACTGATGGGTGACAATAAAATCATCGAATATGTAAAATGATAAATATTCGTTGCATCGACCCAACACCATGTTTTTCGTATTCAGCACCCCAGAAAACCTCTAAAATGATATATTACACGAGTACCAAGTATAAGAACTTCAATAATTGCCATTTTGGTGGGCATTTTGAAAAAAACAAGATGGAGGATACAGTCCAGTCGACCCCTGATGCTACAACCTTTATGCCTAATAAAACATATAAAATGACACGGTTACAAATATACGGTGATAAAAAAAAACAGAATTGTCATTTTGGTCGCCATTTTGATAAAACAAAATGGTTGATATTGACGGATTAATTTTACTACTACGATTATCATTTTGGTCGCCATTATGAAAAACAAAATGGCGGGTATTATCGGATTTATTCTTATACTGCAATTGTTTAATGTAGCACCCCCAAAAACCCATTCAATGACATTAATAAACACATAACTTATGAAAACTCGAAAATTTGTCATTTTGGCGTCCATTTTGAAAAAAAAGATGGCGGAAATTGTCGGATGAAATTGTTACTACAATTTTCGTCTTCAGCACCCCTGAAAACCCCTAGAAAACAATATTCAACGACAAAACAGCAAATGAATGGCTTGGTTGCTATGGGATTTTGTTTTGAAACATACCAAATCCTTAACTTGATTTTTCTCAAAACTTACTTTGGTGAGTTGGGTGGCTTTAAGCAGTCACAACTCGGTCAATTTTCGCTCGATTCAAACAAACTATACATCAAATTGAAGGTAATGAGTCGGAGAATGTGAAAATAACAATAACTCAATTTTCAAAATTTCCTCATTGCGACTCAGTATGCCATGGGGGGGTCACATATAAGATAACACTAACCTTATTTCTGAACCCCTGGGTGTTGCTATTCCAAAACCTTTAGAGTTTAAATTAGGTCCAACTTTCATAGTATTACATTTCTTTCTGTTATTAATATACTCATTGTTAGATGATTCTATCAAGAATGCATATTTTCCTTTTGAATTTCTGACTCTCTGTATACCATCATTGACTGTATCTACCAAAACATCTGGATTTGTACTCATAAAGTTCCACATACGAGCATATGTTTGTACTTCTGAATTCTGAAATATACCAATCGTTGACAGGAATCATCCTAAGTTCACCTTTCATAAACTATTAATAAAAGGCACAATATTGCAGACTACAGCGCCAAATAAAGAATTTTAGGCAATACATAATACATAGCAGTCTTGCTATAAAAAATATTTGTTCAAAAGTTACTCAAATCGGGGGCCCCGCCTCAAGCTTGAGATGGAATTTAACCCCCTTGTTTTGTTTGAATGTTTTATAAAGATTACTATCTGAAGGAAACACTTACATATATTACTACTATCTAATAAACAAGTTCAAGTCCATAATTTTCTTAAATCTAAATAAGGAATATGATAATACAATAATTTGTCTCGAGGTATTAATTTGATCTCGAGGTATACAATAATTTGATCTCAAGGTATACAATAATTTGATCTCGAGGTATACAATAATTTGATCTCGAGGTATACAATAATTTGATCTCGAGTTATACACAATAAAGTATGCAAGGGTTTGTTTTATCGTACGGGCATTAATGGTATGTCCATTTTCTTGATAAAATGTCGACGGAACATCAATAGAATTATATCACCAGATTTATATAGTTTACACTGACATCAGGTCATAGTTTATACACTGTATTTACAAATCTTTGAAATAATAGTTAACTTCATTTTGTATATTTTATCTCTGTGTTTTATACATTTGTTGTTTAAAGCGTATTCGAGCACTTTATTTAAAGTCTTGACACCACACCACACAATACCACATCACACCACACAACACAACACAGCACAACATAAACACAGCACACCCGCGCACATTCCTCACATAGCTCTTATACAACTTCCTTACCTTGAAAAACTGGAATGTGGTACCGGATTTAATCATTCCATATTTGATTTCTGTTTGTTTGGATAAATCATCAGCTGATTCTATAGGTGTTAACATTCTCTCTATGGTTAAAAAGGCAGCAAGGTTGGCAGTATAAGATGAGATAGTTATCAGTACAAAAAACCACCACACACCCCCTATTATACGACCAGATATTGACCTGAAACCAATAACAATTTAAATTTATTTTTATCTGAACGTATAATATTTCTAACAAATAAAAAAAAATGTCTTGCAAGAGATACTGTTTTTGGTAACCATATATTTTTCAGTTCTCGACTTTCAGGATATATATTTTGAAATGAATTGTTTTAGTTTTCTATTGTGTGAAAATAGAATCCATTATCAAATATATCAATAGGTTCTACATTCATTAAGGATATAAATACACACCCCTGTCTCTAATTTAAGGGGGAGGGGGGTGGGGGTGGGGGTATTGTACATTAAAGCATACTGAAATCATTAGAACACGAGACACACCAGTGTCCACGGAATTTGGGATTCCTCCAGATGCTTTAACTAATTCCTAATTTTTCTACAATTAGTTTGGAATGAAATTTAGAAGTATTATGGGAGAGAGAGAGAGAGAGAGAGAGAGAGGGAGAGAGAGAAATGGGGTTTAACGTCCACTCTACACAAACTAGGTAATTTCGGGACTAACACATGGTTCAATTTTATTTCAATAATACGCTTGCGCGTAGGGGTTTTAGCAATTAGAGGAAACCGGAGGACCCGGAGAAAACCCACGGGATTGGACAGGCGACCCTACTCCTTGTAACGTACAACCGGGGAATCGAAACCACGCCAGTTGACTCAATGACAGACCGTATGATATAGCGCAGCGCGCACGTGCTAACCATTCGGCCAGGCCCGTAACTAGCCCCCCCCCCCTGTGAAATAATTTTCGACCATAAAAAAATAGATATACATTGTACCTCAATATTACAGCACCCCTGCGAACACTTCCCACCCCCTTGTTGCTCTAAGCTAGTTACGGCCCTGCATTCGGCCATCCAACCCCCCAAGTATAATGGGACTCCGTATGTTCTTTTATACAAAGACCGTTCTGAATAAAAGACGAAGTTTAAAAATGCTGTCATTGTCATTTGAGAAGAGTTTTGTAAATAAAGATTTGACGAGGAGAAGATTATTAAGCGTGAAATGAAAAACAAAGTGCACTACAATATTTATATGATTGGCCAATACTGGCAGTTGATCTCAATTGACAATAATATTTGTTCAAGAAACTTTCATATTTGTGCTACAATTATTATTCATTCATTTCACTCAGTTATTCAATATGTTCCAAGTGATTATATTATCCCCTTAGATGTATCTGTTGATTTTCGTAACGGTAAGCTACTACCATCCTAATTACCTTGGACAAGAATCGCTCCCTTGAAACATCAAAGCACCCATAGAAAACCAAAAGGAATTCATTAAAGAGAATTCATTTCTATAGCTCTCGAGATTATCGCCTTCAACTTTCTTCCATTCAATGGGGCTGAATCTGCTTACTAAAAACAACCCAACACTCACACCCACATAAGCCACCAATATACACATCCAGATCTGGATAGACAGAGGTTCCATAAAAGAAAAAACTCCTGGTTTCTGCACTTCGGGTTTCCTTATCATTATACTAATACCAATATCCATAAAAGGTTTTGAAAAGTCAACATTTCTCTCACGGTCAGCAGTAATTGTTAATGGTGCCACGGCAAGGTCGGCTTTCTGGGAAAAAAACACATAAAACATTGTCATTACATTTCATTTGAATATTAGATTTGTAAATTCTGTCTGCAATGTTACTATATTATTATCTGTTAATCGAGTATAAATTATCCTGTATACAATATGTAGGCATGTACATGACTTGTATCTTTAACTCTCAAACAGATTCACTTGACCGAGTATATTTTTAAATTGATAATAATACCCTTATTAGATAAGTTTAAATGAAATTTTGTTATGAACTTCAGTCGATTTCATCAATCCCAGACAAAATGACAATTACATATATAAAATGGACAAATTTAACTTGCATAAATTTTAGATTCTTGTCTGAGATTATTACAATACAATTTTGTATCGAATTGATAATAGTTTTTAATAACGTACATGTTCGATTAACTCTCCTATCATACCATTCCATTTGTTAGGTGCTATTTTAGTACCATATGCCCCGTCTTCCACTAATTTAATAATATAATCAAACCCCAGCAAACGAGCAATGTGTCTACTAAGATCAACAGCATATCCTGTAATATAAAACCAATAGCATTCTAGGTGTTGGTTATCCCAATCACTCAACTGAGACAACATTCTATCATTAACTCTCCTATCATACCATTCCATTTGTTAGGTGCTATTTTAGTACCATATGCCCCGTCTTCCACTAATTTAATAATATAATCAAACCCCAGCAAACGAGCAATGTGTCTACTAAGATCAACAGCATATCCTGTAATATAAAACCAATAGCATTCTAGGTGTTGGTTATCCCAATCACTCAACTGAGACAACAATCTATCATTTTGTTTGTAAACGGAGCTAGTAACCACTTTTCGTAGAAAAATAATTTTCCATCGATTCCTTGGATTATACTCATATAATGTAGTCATTTAATAGAGGTCCGGTACTACCATGTCCACCACATGGATTATATGGTAGATTCCAAAGTCGCAATTTTGTTCATGCTATAAAATAACAAATTAGAAAACCGATATTTATCAAAAAATATATTTATATCGAATTTACTTCCTATTTAACAAATACCGCAACCACACTGAACCCCCCAAAAACCCTGCAAAATGCATTTTAGTATATGGTACATTAAACTCATAAAGGATAATTTACAAGACCGAATAGGTGAATACAATACCATTTTTGGTCTATAAAGACCGCCTCATTTATTCTTTAAAAATCATTACTAGGAATTACATGTATAAATTTCTGACGACTATATTTCTATATATATATACCTTCATATCTATCATTGCCTACTGGAGGTACACCATTTTCAACAGGCTTCTTCATTAAAAATGGCTTTGACTGCAAGTAAATTTATAAATCAGTTTAACTGGGTGTGATCCAATATACTGAACAATAATTTAAAATGATACCCTTTAAGACCTTTTTGTATTGTTCTGTAAATAAATAAATTACCATCTGTGATGATAAATTCTTTATTAGGCCAAACAATGGATGAGATACACCTTTTTACGATTTATCAATAAAGGTCTTCAGGATGTATATAACTGGCGACTAACCAAAATATTTACTGCCTTAAACTTCTAAAATTCATCATTCAATTTTTTACTATGAAAGTCGATTGATAATACAGTAAATGACATCTTAACTTACAATTATAGATGTAACTATTTTCGTTGTATTTCCTGTTCCGGGTGGTCTGTAGTTGTATTTGCCTCTAGGGGCATGCATACTTCTAAAACCTATACCAGAAGACCACGTACCTAGCTAAGATAATAATGAATATTGTGTTATTATTAGAAATGAAATAAACTGATACATCCTGTATTAAAGCAATTAAATCGTTTTGGTTTTTGTAAACCCAAAGTATTGAATTGGACTGATCTAATATTTTATTTTCAATGATCACCAGGAAAGCTGTATTTCGAAAGATTAAGCGACTTGCTTACTCATTTTAGTTTTAGTTTTTGGCTTTATTTGACGGTAATAGAACACAATATATTTTAACAGTAACGTTATCTAGAGGCCTAAAATGGTCAACGATGACACGTTATCTTCATATAAAACCCCATGAAATTGACAATTTTATTATTGACCCAAATCGGATAGGTCTAGACATTTTAATGGTTACGTGTGTTGATACCCATGAACACATGATGTATGTTTAGTAGAGTCAAACTTTATCGAGAAGTCCACATATTTTGGTAGTATTGTGCTCAAAATAATACAACGCAAACGGTATTCCAGAAGAACCAAATTATCCTGATCTGCTTCCGCATTGATGTAAAACAACTGTTTAAATTGTTTAGTCAAATGTACTAAACCACTGTTATACACTTCTAAAGGTCTGTACATAATAGCCACTGAAAATCATAATGTTTTGAATGCGAGCTATATTATTACCGTCTGACAGATTAAATTCGGTTTATAGGAAGTCGCCTTTAAGAAACAATTCAAGGAATATTGGGAGTCTGATTATTATCTAATTTTAGGTTGATTATAGGCTTTACCTTATTTGGTCCCGATTCTAAATTGACGGTATACACCCCGAGCTTGTAATCTTGTCTGAAACCTTTCTCGTCAAAGTGTAGCCTTCCTGATATTCCTGGTGGATTACGCTGTCAATAAAAGAAAAGATTCGTGCAGAGGTTAGACAAGTATCTGTCTTATTTAGAAAGGTAACATTAATAAAAATTCAATTATTGTCGACATCCCTTTATATTTTTTTTGGTCATTTTTGAGAAATCGTCTTAACTTGTTCTTTTATTATGTAGAAGCCGTATTAGGAGCTTTAACCTTTTCTCTGAACACTTTACTTTGATTACTTGAAATGGATTTTATGTAGTAAAACAGCTTTAGATCATAACTGCGAGCGAAGTGCTCTGCGTTTATAATATACAGTTAAGTCCCATTGTGTCAGCCCCTATCGTCTCTGGGTAGTAATTTAAACGATTACAAAACCAACTTAGGTTGTATGTCATCTGCAGCCAAAACATTCAGTAACAATAAAGATGAATACGTGAAATTAATAGGAAGTCGTGCTAGGACTGCATGACAACAACTTTTTGACTGGCAATATGCTTTTTGGAACATTTTAGTCTAGACTATTGTAATTGTGCCATTACTATTTAACTGACTTACTGATTTAAGAAGAGCATATATTGCGTCTCCATGCATCCATGGAGTTGGTGGGTCAGTAGTACAAGGTACACCACGGGTTCTGTTATAATTATATACATGCTTCCGTCTAAAGGTATACCGGAAGGCATCAGAGTTATTACCCAACATGGCGGCGATAGTATCTTCTAGTGAAGTTACAGCATCAACAGTTAGAGCAGCACTAGACTATCAATAGAAAATGAAAACAGGATTTAGCGGCCAGGATGTTGTGCTCCCTTGCAATTCTGGACTTATAAGTCACATTTCAAAAGTGCAAAAATATACATTAATAGTTAAACACCTACAAGACTAATATTTTGTGAATATGACACAGTAAGTAAAGCACAATCGACCCTAACCAGTACATATATCTATGGAATCAGCACATGGGAAAGTGGCACCAGATGTTCCCTCAGATATATGCTTACATATTGTAATAATAATTTATTAATCTTATAGCCAAAATCCACTGGAACAGCTGATCTATGGTGCATTTACAAATAGATTTAATATAAATACATCAAATATACATATATATAAATGATAATACATCCCCGCCCCATCAGATTCATTAAAATGAACATGAATCATTGAAACGTAAATTGAATAGAAATGATAAAAAGATATAAAAGTTGATGATTGTGAAGTAAATTTAAACGGTTCAATATATGAAACCAAAATATAACAAATGCTTTCTCAAATACACCAGATTTAAAGTTATTTGTTAAAATACGGAAACTTGGACTTATTTCTGTGTTAAATGACAATTCATTTCGAAGTTCAGGGGCTGCCAATGTGAATGAACGTACACCAAACAAAGATGGATATTGTAGGATTTCAGTAGTTTCCGGTTTGAGGGACGAAGCTGTGGGGAGTGTTCATAAGTTGACAAGCGATCATGGAGATTGGTGACCCTGGACAATTGAATGACAAATTAATATAAAAAAAGAAATTTGAAATCAAATCGATATGGTATAGGCAGCCAGTGAAGTTGTTTTAAAATTGCATCAGGGAATGTGAATATGGTATTATACAGAAACATAATGTGGTATTAAAGTTGTCCGTCTGTGCGATTTTTTGAAATACCTTCAAAAATACATGCACATTCTAGTATGGCCAGAGCATGCTCATTTCAAACACACCAGGCTTAAGTCTTTATTTCAAACGTTTTATGGTAGCCATCACGATAAAGTTGATCTTTGTAACATACGATGTGTCTGCTTTTGTTGCAGATCTGTTTAGTCTAACCTACGTTTTCCATTTAATCATCCTCGACTTTTCATTTAACACGGCGACGATAATGGCGGTTGTCGAGAACGAGGCGGAGTATTGACACCTGGTAGGCTACTATTATGAGGCACGGCTAAATCTATTTGTTTTGTTAAGGCCAGCTCAATTTTCGTCACGGTCGCTGAGATGTAAATAAGGTTAGGGTACGTGAATGTTGGCCAGATTGTAGGTTCGGGTTAGGGTAGACATTAGGGCTAGGTCCAGGGTTAGGGTTATTGTTGGGTTTAGCGCTAGCCCTGCTTACATCTCGTGACCTTTGACCAAACTTGAAGTTGGCCTTATTAAATAGATCTAACTGTTATTTATCGTGTGACTAGTCTACTTATTCGTTACTCGGGTTTACTGAATTACTCCGCTGCTTAGGATCAATTGTGCTTAATTTGTGTTCTAAAATATCGTATTTACAGCTAACAAATATCGTATTTACAGCTAAAAAATATATTTACAGTTCAAAATGGGAATGTCTAAGGATATAAATTTAGTAAACTATAAATACAAACTTACTGGTACAACATTTGTACCATCGAAACTAGATACTGTAACATGTAGTTTCTTCATTTCTTTTATAAAATCTCTATTATCAGTTGTCTCTTCATCTATTAGTTGAAATCCAGTTATATTTACTCCACCATGGCGATACCGTGATAGATTTAAACTTTTAAAATCCTATTATTCATAGAAAGGTAAATATAAGAGATTGAAGTTAGAAAAGGGTGAAAACAAAACAAAGTTATTTAAATTATAATATATACATATATTTATAATCATAAAATATTGTTCTACTAAATGATAATACATATAATACTTACTAACGTTCCCAATAGATAATTATATCCATATTTGTTCATACCGACTTCTGGTATCTGGAAATCAGAATAGAAACGGTTTAAACAATATTAAAACCTAGTCTTAATCAGTGAACAAACAAATATATATAGATCGAACTAAACCATGAGTCGCTATTAAGGTATAATGAAGACGCGCATACGCCATACAGTGGTGCTCTGAGGGAAATTTTGCCTGGGCAGCGGCACTATGACCTACTCTTATATCGAAGTCCAACTGCCAAGGGAACTATTACGTGCACACCAATGTATACATCGGGACCTCTGATTTTCGTATCATCCGAATGACTAGACAGCTGTCCTTGTCAGGTCCTCCGTCCTGTACCACTGACAAGGAGAAACCACGTCGGAAAATCCGGAGGAACTTTCTCGGCCAATGCAGGGATCGAACACCCGACCCCCGGGCTAGCGAGCCAGCGTCTTAACCGCTTAGCCATCGTTGCTCCATTTCAAATACAAGATGTAACGTAAATTTACAGTTGGCCCGTGTCACCGTAACAATCTTCAAGGGAAAAAAAACTAGTTACGCCAGGGCGTAACCGTTTTCAGTTTTACGAACTGTTTATGGTATGTAAAACCTGAGGTTAACGGTGCAGCTAGGTACCCTTTCGCTAACATCTGATACCAAATGGGTAACAAATACAACAAATAGTACATACGATTAACCGTGCCACATGTGACGGATGTGATCTTTGCCAAGTTCGTGAAGCTAAAAGCTACGAATTTCTGGTCGTTTAAAGACCCACTATGGCAACAGAAAGGATAAATACGCATTAAAAATACTCATAAAAAATATTAACAACGATCAATTTTTTAACTCAAGTTTGTTCCATTTAAAGTTTACATTAGTTTTTATTGATTTCACCCCGCCCTGTAGGTTCTGTATTTATATCAGTCTTTACATTAAAATAGTACACAATTTTTAACTGAGATAATATGAACGATGTGAGATATTGTGCTATAACCACCAAAGACATTTACAGGTCACAATTCTATGGAATACAATTACTGCTTTTTACTGAGCGACGTTTCGACTAGGCTTCTCTAGTCATTATCAAGCTATGATAAAAAATGAAAATATGACAGGACAATATATATATGTACATGTATGTAATAATCTTACGTTCTTGATGCGATGCAGGGATGCCGATGTACACGTCATTAAGTTAGATCCCTGGTTTCTCAGCATTAACTAAGCATTGTTGTGTACATGTATATATTGTCCTGTCATATTTTCATTTTTTATCATAGCTTGATAATGACTAGAGAAGCCTAGTCGAAACGTCGCTCAGTAAAAAGCAGTAATTGTATTCCATGTGTGACCTGTATACTCTAGTTCAATTACTAAATGGCATTGAAACAGTTTATCAGACATCAGTATGGAGATTTGGCAGTCAAACTCATTGATCAGATACGAAGAAAAGAAGGAAAATATGTACATGTATGTAATAATCTTACTTTCTTGATGCGATGCAGGGATGCCGATGTACACGTCATTAAGTTAGATCCCTTGTTTGTCAGCATTAACTAAGCATTGTTGTGTACATGTATATATTGTAATGTCATATTTTCATTTTTTTTATCATATTTTGATAATGACTAGAGAAGCCTAGTAGAAACGTCGCTCAGTAAAAAGCAGTAATTGTATTCCATAGAATTTTGACCTGTATACTCTAGTTCAATTACTAAATGCCATTGAAACAGTTTACCAAAGACATTGTATTCTGGATCTATAGAATATTATTCACAAACATCCGCAGCGATGACTCTCAACAAAAAAAACCCCCAACAACCACATTTCACAACAAAAGAGGTCCCGGTATTGCATAAAAAAGTCAATTTTACTCCACAACATCACAATAATTGTGCTCAGAAATTATATTGCTGCAAGCAAAGGAAAACGTGACAAAGAAAATTGTTTCAGCGGTTTATAATAGTGCAGAGAACCCAGGTTTTGATTGACAAGCATGGCGAGGAAGTTGAAATTAGTGCTGGGAATTACATCATCGATCCTATATGACTTATTCCATAACAGCGACCTGAAGCAGATTAAACTTATTATACGTGTCACATGTCACGATGTTGTATGACTTATTGTTTTAACCTGTAGAGGAATTATAAAAAAAAGTATTGACAGCCATAGAATCAAGTTTTCTTCATATCAGTTAACTTAAGAACAACAATAAGAAAAATATTTTTAAAAATACATATTAATTTAATATTATGAAACTGAATTATCTCGTGGATGTAAAAATCCATAGGTTCGCCCGTCCAGGAAACTCACCCAATGCACATTGACAGTTTTTAAAAGCTAACATTAATGTCATATACCGCAACGGCCTACTGAAATATCCTAAAGTTTTGTCATATGTATTTGTTGTTCCAGAAATTTTGATCATTAAACCCGCGATGCGACAGAAGACTAGCAATCGTTTCCCTTATTTCACTTTAATGATAACAAGGGCTGCAAAATGTCCTAATTAGATAGTATCTTAGACCAGACTGGTTCCCAATATTGTTCTAACCATGGACCACTTGGGACATTTTACAAATGCCAAATAACTTAACTCCCACATCTGCATTTACCTGTTCACCACTTTGCAAATTAAATTATGAAAGAGATATGAATGAAACAAAAATATTTTGATAATATTATACATTCAGGTGTTTCGACAATTCACACTCACACTCATTCTGATCAATAACGTGATACATCAACACATAGCAAGATCATCGCTATTCCCGTTAATGTGATATTGAACTTCATTGTCCGAATACTAACATTTTCATACTGAATGTAACTTCGTAGCTGTTTTTTTCCCCAAGGATCAATGTTTCCACTGCGGGCCCTCTGAGAACCTGTTTGACTGTGTGGAAGACCACAAGGAGTCAGAGCATCAAAGTTTGAGAAACGCTGCTTTAGGCGAATAAAACAAGTAATTAATTTAGGTTAGATACCACCTTGAATTCGATCTGCATGTAAAGAAATGAAATGACTGCTAGTTGTTTCTAAAACAATACAGACTGCGGCATGAAATCAATAGAAACCCATGAGAAATATAGATGGCCATAACTTACGTTCAAATTGTTTGATTTTAATAATTTTTGAACCACCAAGTCATTATATATTTGGCTTTCAGCCTGGAATATTAGGGCTTTAATATTTTTGTTAAACATGACACTATATAGCTACTTTTAAATGGAATACGAGCGACAGTGTTAGTGGGTTTCTTTTATTTGTGTTTTAATATATTGTGTGGGGAAAATAAAAATCGATATTGTGTCCATAATATAAGAGCTTTAATTTCACTGACAAAACTACATACATGATCTGTTCAGATCACTTTCTAAATATTTCCATTACGGCGGTGACATATCTTTCAATAGTTAGACATTTATGACTTGGCTAGCAGGTGACGGAAATGGAAATTAGCTGCGGAAATTCAGCCATCAATTCCGTGATCTTATCCCGGAAAACTCCATGGTCTAACTTGTTATTCATATTATGTTGTCAGATATTTGCACATCTTTTCGTAAAACGTTTTGACATTATAAGCTTTTTGGTTTACCGTTTAAAAAATCAATGTAGTGCTATGTTGTTTAGTTTTTACATTTTTTTATTACTGTATTGCGTGCAACAATGAACAATTTCCCAGGAGAATTCCGACTGACATGCCATATTATATCATGTTAACTGACAGTACAAATCATGATTCGTCCGAATTCTTTCCTTTCCATTACATGGTTGACACCAGGCTAATTTGTATGTCATGACATTTTCTTAAAGGGTCAACAAATATTACTGAAGACACTTAGTTTAAGATCAAGAAGAATTATAATGTTTATTTATTATTCTCATGACTCGGTGCCATCGTTGCCTGATATTAGCAGGTGGTAATCATGGAAATCAATAAAGATAGAAAATAAAGCTAAGCGAAGAAATAATGCATCGCTTGTCCTTAAAGTAGTGATTTTAAACTGAACACTTCTCCCAGATAACCATTTGCACGCGACCGTATTATCTTTTTTAACGCTAATCTCAAAAACAAAAAAGAAAAAAAAGTAATTGAAAAATGTTCCATCTTTTATTCTTTACGTATTTCAAAGTTCTTTAAACTTTTTCTTTTCTTTCTGTTATATGACATTTTTAGGCGACCAGAAGTCAGAAAGTGTGACCTTTATGTTTTAGTATACTTTAAAGTGTATCGAATGGTATGTATGTGAATACACAATTAAAACATCAAAAACATAGAGTTCACAAATCAATCATTATATATGCTATGTCTGTGAGAAAGACAACAGTCCCTGCTACACAATTTAAATGTCAAAGAGAATTAAGCCGTTTCCAACGTAAACACTTCTAGGGTCAACACCTAGATCACAGATAAACCTAGTTATACAATGCATCAGGTGTTGCAGAAAGAGTAAACACTCCCAGATGTCATAATTTGTAGTTATTAGACTAAATGTGTGATGCATTCATATACTCGGCTTCTAAAACGACCACCAGCATCTACAAGAACTTCTGTATCATTTAGATCGTATAGCGCAATAACATACTCTAATTCAGTATTTATTATAAACTCATTACATTGATATTGTATAAATATAGTAATAAACAAGAAATTAGTCATTGTAACTGCCGCTCTATGGACATTATCCATCAAACTAGCGTACTAATCTGATAAACTACAATATCGACCAGTCCTTAATCACTACATTGATATTCCACAGTGCCAATTCTCCCAGTAAAGGCGCCGTATCAATCACACAGATTTGGGAAATGGGATTTTAGTCCCCGGGAACACATTCTTCTTATTTAATAAGAGTGTAACAAAGATAGCGATAGAGGTTACGGATGTTGGTTAATCTCTGCTTTTATTTTCTACTTGCAAGGAAATAAAATAAATCAAGTTACCAGTGGTAGAATATAGATTACTCATAAAGCAACAATGATTGATTTATCTATAATATATGATTATCTACCCCCTGACGTACATAGAATAAAAAAAATCCTTTAAGGTAGAAACTTACAAATTATAATTAAGTTTTAAGGTGAAAATGTACTAATTATAATTAAGTTTTAAGGTGAAAATGTACTTATTATAATTAAGTTTTATGGTGAAAATGTACTAATTATAATTAAGTTTTAAGCTATAAAGATATAATGTAGACTGTAAGGATGAAAGTGTTAAATTAAGAAAACAAAATTCACAACTTTTCTGTGAATTTCCTTTATTTGAAGCACCAATGGATTTTAGGTGTTTGAACTCTTCTGGGCGTCCGTGCTACAATATCCGTATATACGTTTGATAACTCTACTTATCTTTCCATTTACATAGCAGTTTTAAAGCCACGGTGGTGCTAGCTCACAATCCAGGAAATCAACTGGTAAAGAAAAGGTGTCACGTAGTCCAACCATGTAAGCGTAAAATTACCCTTGGTGTAGAATAGATAGAAACGCCAGTGTTGGAGCAGATTTTCGTCTTCAGAAGAACATTAAACCCCATTTCATTTACATACCTGTTTTAAAACTGTTTTATAAGCTTCTTCACTGGACAAATCGAGTACAAATGATTTAGTTGCATTGATATCGCCTCGATCAATTTGTCTTAAATCATCATGGACATGGTTAATATCGTTAAACCGCTTCACGGAGAACCAATCCACACTAGCATTACGCATGGACCGAAATATTCTTTGAAGTCGTATTAGACCTGAAAAGAAATAAAAGTTTATTACTTTATTGTTAAAGGACACCAGGAATGGTTCAGATTTTTATATCTGATTAATTATCTAGTTATAAACTAGTTTCTAGAAGAACCCAAAGTCATTTCATCTTTGATTAAGAAATTAAGACATAATATCATCCGGTTAAAGGTCAGTCACCACCTCTAAACAAAACCAGGAGTTTATGTAAGAACAGATACCTTTGTTCTTTTAGGTGAAAACACTATGGAACGTGAGACACACTGGTCGAATCAATCGCCGCCGAATTGCAGCCGAATTCATTCGGCCGATTGAGTGGACACATTTGGCGAATTCTTCGCCTGATTCACCAGTCGATTGCATCACATTCCACGTGATAAGTCAGGTTATTAAACAAGGCAGCTACCAAGAAAAAGAAAGAAAAAGCCGCAGCGATGGAAATTTGTTAATTTTACGCCGCATCCATCTCCGCCCATAAAATAATAAGCTCCGATTCTTTCTCGAGATTCCACGTTTCAGTGATAGTCGACATTTTGTCTTCAAAAAATCACGTGACTTTCTCGACATCAGTAGTAATTGGCTAATGAATTTACAATCGGGCGACACACTAGGCGAATATAAACACGGCGAATGAAAATTCGACGGAATATACCAAACATGTTTCATTCGGGCGAATCATTCGGAGTTCTTTTGGTTTTTACCCAAGTTAACACCCAGTCTTGAAATAACTTTTGGATTTCAAAATAGTTTCAGGATGTGAACACCAGGAAATTTTAAATAAGGGTGGCTTTTTGAAAACTTACAACGTACAAAACGTTCTAGTGTACAATATTTAATAATAACAAACCTTCGTCAGAATCATAGAGGAAGTGTACATGGTCCCATTGGAGAAATCTTATCAACTCTATTAAGGCCTCTGTGAAATCAGGTTTCAAATGAATTTCAAACATGGAGTGCTTTCGTGATGTATCACGTGATAAACTTGGTGTAAGATATGGCATATGGAACGTGCTGGTAAAGGCCTGTACGATATCAGATGATTGCGTGGTCTTCTGTCCGATTATAGCAAACACGCCTTCAGACATTTGACGACATACTGAAAGATAAATGATTAATAAGCATGTTGCATAATCGGTGTTATTATAATGAATTTCATAAAATATAGCAAAAACGCCATTTTTTATACCGTTCATATGTAAAGTGCAACGGTCAGTGTCGTAAATAATTCAAGTGATATTCCCATCGCTTGAGTGGACTTTTTTCTGGTACGTTAAAGGTGGCTTGGTTACTGAGCTATAGGTAAGTTCCGTTACTACTGTTACTGAGCTATGGGTAAGTCCAGTTGGTATGGTAAAAGAACTATAGGTAAGTTCCACTGGTATTGTTACTGAGCTATAGGTAAGTTCAGTTGGTATGGTTACTGAGCTATGGGGAGGTTCAGTTGGTATGGTTACTGAGCTATGGGTAAGATTAGTTGGCATGCTTACTGAGCTATGGGTAAGTTCTGATGATGCTGTTACTGAAACATACATTATGCAAGAGCCAAATCTGCCAATTGCAGATCTTTCTTTCTGCCTGAAATGTTATCTAAATTATTAATTAGACATTTTAAATTAACTTATCCAGACCATAATCAACTCTCGATGGCATTGCTAGCCTGCGATATTTACTGGATTAGAATCCGGTCTGCTGCTTCTGATTAAATCAAAAAATGGATAATCGATTCTATGTTTTTTATCGTACCGACTTTAGGAATGATGATCGAGGCTAGGCCGAAATTTCAATCGCTTAATTCTCGGTTCATAGTGGATCAATTTCAATCGCTTAATTCTCGGTTCATAGTGGATCAATTTTCAGCAAATTGCCTTTACATTGTCTAGTATTTAACTATTATAGTGGGAACTGTCAGCTCTTTATCTAATCTTCCATAATGTATCTGTAACTATGTATTGGCAAGTTAAGTTGGTACTTTACTGAGTTATACATAAGTTCCATTGATAATGTTACTGAGCTATGGTTAAGTTCGGTTGGTATTGTTACAGAACTAAGTTCAGTTGGCACTGCCAATGAGCTATGCGTAAGTTCAGTTGGTGCTGTGACTGAGATATTCCTAGAACATTTAAAACTATTTATGTGCCGACTTATATTTTTGAATCAGATATATTTTCCTTCGTTTCAGAGAGAGAGAGCTTGGAATAATTACTCCATGATGTTCCAACCTGGTTTTCTCCCATTGCTAAAGACCCCTACGCGCAAGCAAATTATTGAAATAAAATTGAACCACGGTATAGTCCCGAAATGACCTAGTTTGTGTCGAATTGACGTTAAACCCCATCTCTCTCTCTATCACTCCATAATGTGGAGTAGACAACCGATAAAACGAATGTATGCATACGGTACGATTTTTTTCTTTGTAAAATTATTCGAAAATCTTTCTTAAAGATATTCTTCCTCGACAGGCCGTAATTCATAACCAATGATTGAAAATATATTCAAAATACCAAGAAATGTGTTTGTCAAAACATCAAGTTGCGAGCCACGAACGGGACAATCTATCAGATCTATAAACACTGCCACTACCAGAACAGTGGGTTTGACGAACAGTCAGGTGTCTGCCAAACTAGCGGTTGACTTTAAAGGATTTGTATCTTATTTCATTCATTGTACATGTATTTACAAATCACTTTCAGTCTATATTTTAAAAAATATCAAACCTTTAGTTTAAAATTAGTGTTCGGGTGTCACACAAGATAACTTAATTTCGAAGGAACATATCTTAGTGGTTTACTTCGACATATTTTCTGGTAGAATTTATTTAAAGGGACTATCCCGATTTGAACAGAGTCTCAAAAATAAAAGTCCGAGCACGTATGAAATTTAGAGGAATGGTGTATTTACCCTGTCTCAAAACTTCAGCTCAAAATATTGAGTCGTTTGGACGTGAAGGTCAAAATTGCTTATCCGGACACGTAACCCTTTTAAGATTTCGTGTCAATTTTTTCGTTGGGTGACCTGATAATCGATTCACGTTCCTTTAAAGGTATAAACAGTGAATCACGCATGTGCCGTACTTAATGAAAGGTAAATTTCACCTACACATTATTTTTATAAAATAAAAGTCTGGTTTTATCCAGACACCGCCTAATACAGCTTAGGACATCGATCTCCATTTCCAGATTAAGACTGATGGGTTTAAGTTGTTTGAAAATGTATCACATATATTGAGTTAGTTGCTCGGACCTAAGTTAGAGAATTTTGAGGGATTTTAACACAAAATTAAGCAGTTTTATTCTCCAAAATATTATCGGGATTGGCCCTTTAAGTAATGCTCTCGCTTCAGATTCTTCTATATGAAAAATCGTAAGAAGGAGCAATCGCATTTGATACTGACTAAAAGTGATTTGTTTCAAATGACAGATTTTAAAAAAAATTCCTGTGTTCTTTAAGATAGATTTTATACTGCGTTAGTCTGTTATTCTTATCGTTTATGTTTTGTCGATAGTAATTCTATTAGATGATAATAATATCATCTTGATCAGTCTTTATCATAGAGAAAACGTTTGTACTTTATTTTGAAGAGCAACAGACGTAGGCTTGAACTATAATAAGAAGTTAACCACGAATCAATATTAAAACATGCTTAAGAGTCGTCAATCAAGTACCATCTGAAATTTAATAAACCTTATGTTTTACACATGATCATGCCAGAATCAGTAATGGCAGTCGTTCAAAAGCCGAGTTGAATTTTATATTTTAACGTTTAGTGATAGTTCGTAAATGTTTATTTTAGTCATTCTGTAATTGTCTTTTTAAGGCATTTAAGTCAGTTATTTTCAATTTTCATGTAAATATTAATTTTTAGACATAGTATATATGTCATTCAGTAATTGTCTTTAAGGCAGTCATTTTCCATCATCATCTAAAATGACATACCTAATCAAATTTGTCGTTTAATATCTCAATAATGTACGACAGCAGCGAAGTGATAGACGTTGGTACGGCCCCTAGCATTGGGGCGTGGTGACAATTGATAATCCATTACAATACTTGGGTCGATAACCTATGCTAATGATACATTTATACCATTAAAACCAATGGATATAAAACCATCAATTATTATTAGGCAAAAACGTCAAATGCATTTACAAACAAACCACTATTGTATAGACAGATATTTAAAGCGGCATTGTATGAACCTACAAGAAAATGGCGAATCTCGGTCTAGCTACTTAGCAAGCGGTATATTTGGGTTTGTGACTGTATAGTAAACTAAACGCTAGTAGGAAACTAAACTCGACGTCTGGCGAGTAATTCGGAAAGGGGATAATGATTCAATTATTTACTATCGATCTTCAAAATATCATCGGGACACAAAATTTGTTAGAAGCCGACCCAACTCCCGTGTGAGATTGGTAATTATTTCGTATTCGCAATCATTTCTACTAAAATTCCTCCACATCTGTGGCCTCGTGTCTCATCACTCGTAGCTTTTCAGTTTCTCATCTAGACACTGAGCTAATATAAAATTGACGATTGTATCGAGAAAAGCAATTCACTAAATTTGAAAAAGGAGAAAGAAAAAATTGTGCGTTGATGCAGATTTACAGATAATTTAGTAATGATTTACGTGATGGGTTATGTTAAAAGCCATGGGTTCAACACAAATTGATAAACAACTTGGCTATAAACGTTAACGATGCATTCTTCTCTCAGATGAAAATTCCAATGGTTCTGTATCTAATCCATTATCTACATACGGTACCTTGGCATGAATACTTTAAAAACTAAATACATCCCGGGTGATTTTCTGTTTTTATACACAGCCAATATAATCAGTTCTTATTTGCTTTTTTTAGACATTCATTCAGCATACGTAAGCCAATTGATCCCGTAGAACCTAGGTCTAAAAATGGACTCTTCGAAAATTGTTTGAAGTTAAACAAAAAGGATCTCAGTTTGAACTTTTAGCAATACATCAAGCTTTTTCAAGGTACAAATAATTTATAATGGTTTTAACAAGTAGGGTCGACGAGTAAAAACCTATTTTAGAAACGTTTTGTAAAATAGGCTAGGCGGCTTGTGAAATAAATAAAATTTGTTTAATAGCGATAAGAGGATACTTGGCGATATATCGTGCTGATATGTAATAAACCAGTTATTGTTTCCCATACAACTGTGGTTTGTTAATGTGTTTTTCGATCACTGAATGCCACTTACAGAATAAAAACATAACCGTTGTTTGGGTGCTCGTCGAATTACCGGGAAAGAAAAAGAGATATATGTTATATAACTGAAATCTAAACGAAATCTATTAGTCAAATATGGATCATATTTTCCATCTCTGATCGAAATAAAAAACCCCCTACAATTCAACACTTTATGTCGATCTAGATCCAAGAGGTCTATTCCCTTTAACGTATTACCGTATTAACTACAACGGAGCATGACCCTTAATTCTAATATAGCCATCGAACATGAACTCGATACGAGGATTTATGTTATATAATCATTATTTATCGTAATAAATGTTATATGTAATGGTTTATTTACAATCCTTAGATATCCCGTTTACTTAATAGCATTCTACCGCGTCTCTCATTTCCTGTACAATGTAATAAGTAATGGACCCCCACAGAGCGAATTTAGAACATATCTATATATGTTCGTTTGTCCAGACACATATATTGATGCCAATATCTAAAAGGAAGTTCAATCAGACCAGTGATTCATTGTATTCGTGTAAACTTTGGTAAACACAGCGAATATCAAATCCTTTTTCATGATAAATTAGTATTTTTATTGATCAAATCTAACAGACTATAAAATGATTAAATTAATTTGTGTAAAATCTTATGACAATCAGACTAGAGAAAAAAATTATAATCACATATACTATAGTGACAAAATATTATGGTCCATTATTTAATAACGACTAGAACTAGCGACCACGTTCTCTTAAAATACTGTCTCCTTAGTCTACTCACGTGGAAACTTATATATAAAAATGATAGATGGCGCGTTGTTATTGTATATACTTAATTAGACTGATGAGGCATGGTGGTCTTAATGGTTTTAAAGATTGGGTACAATAGTACATTTCTGAACTACGTATACACAGATTTAGATAATAAGTTTCGCAAGGATTGTTGGCTATGTTTAATGTTTGGTTGTACATTATAGCTCACGAAACGTGGCGAAATCCATATTACAAATATTTCGATAGGCTATGAACATAGAAATGCTATTCAACCGTTATAAGTTACTTCCTTAATCCAGTGACCAAACAAAGGTTGACATCTAATATTTCATGTACACCCAATTCATTAAAAGCAATATTAGTCACCATGTTTTTTTTTTAAATATATACATGTATATGTAATCTAACATATATCATTATATATTAATATACAATGGTATTATTTACTTATTGAATAGCGGTATTGTCCAAAACAATTCCAGCATTTAAAGAATTTATTTGTGGAAGAAATGTACTAAAAATCGAAATATTATATGAACCAGGATATTATGTAAAACTATCGATCCAACGTAAGGACATAACATCCATACAAGAATGCTTTTCTTTTGTTACAATGGTCTAACTACACGTTGTCTAAGAAAGAAAACCATTTCTTCTTCACTCTACCGGATAATGCACCAGAATCAAGGATTGTAATACGTGCATGCTCTATGGAGGAGTAACTGGTTTGAAACAGAATTTAATACATGGCAGAGCGGTTACCCAGACAATAAAACATTGGTAATCTCACTCAGATCTTCTTCAAGACGATCACAGGGGACCCAGACATTACCATTTATAAATAATCATTTCACAAGCTGGTAATTTTCAAAGTAAGCAAGCTTTTGTTATCGTTATAGAACAATCTAATGGGACTAATGGTCGCACAAGATTGGAAGAAAATTACCATAATACAGGAGTAATCAGACAATGGAACTAAGGCTTTCTTTTTGATACACAAAATATACATCTGAAAATTGCATTATAGCTATGCTTGTAAATTATAAAATCTTCAAATTCGTAAAACGATTCTAGTTTTATCTAGAAGTCCTTAATTGAATTCGCCCATTGTACTGCGTGTAATCTGTGAATTTTATTCAAGCAACGTGTTCTAAGAGTGTTAATCAACAATGTCTGAAGTAACCTTGATTATACAATACATGGCATCAGTAGTGTACAAATACACAAAGGCCATAATGTCAAGATATGACGAGATAACAATCCTGTTTAAAAATCGATTCATCAACGACCGTCTGTAAGCAAAGAGAAGAGAATGTCCAAATTGAATTCGTGGGTCAACGAGCGATTTGCAAGAGACTTATAATTTCCATAAGCGCCCTCGGTGATAAATACGCGTTGATAGAATATTAACGACTGTGGAATCTGGGAGCCGTTTCTCTTCTACCGTCTCAATATACGACTATTAGAACCACAATAATTACACGTCCTTGCTCTTTAGTGACGATACGTGGTAGTTTACTTTCTATAATGACAGGCATTTTAATTTGGGTATTCTTAAACGGTCGTCTTCATTTCAGAAACTGATGCCGTCGCTTATTTTCTTGGCCCTGAATTGTGCATTGAAAATGATATTCTTACAATCTCTGTCTAAATTGATATCGGTTTTTATTTGCCTTTGGTCATATGAAAACAACCCATTTCTACCCAAGAAATAAGATACAAGCTTATACAATTTGTCAATTTATTTTTACTTCTTAAGCCGTGAATCTGATGGAAACGCTTAAAGCTATAAATGATTAATTCAGATTAAAGACCTAATTGAATCTGAATATCACGCTAAAATACCGACAACGTTTAGATAGGATGGTGACTAACTCAAGCAAATTATTCATAACTTGGCTTTGCAATTTGATAATTTTGCCAATTGGCAATAAAACTGTATATTATGGATTTTGTTTATGGGTTAAAAGCATTTACATGTAGAAATCTTGGTAATTTATCAAACGTCTTTCGCCTTTCAGGTTATTCTATATTCTTGAATATCTGCGTTTGGCCTATTTCGATCATAATGTGCTATAAGTATTTTTAAAGACGATAAACAAGAAACGTCAGTTACACAAGTCTGTTTATTGTTTATTTAGATCAGTGTGCCCCTCGCTTTAAAGGCACAATAAGTCAGAGCGTTCACATATTTAATATATTAATGTAACGACTGTTATTCTATACTATTTTACCCCCCCCCCCCCAAGTATATATTCATGAGGTATGAGTTGGTTTACAATATTTAAAGATAAAAAAAAAATATTATTACTATAATTATCTAAGATGCAAAAAGATGGTGGCGTGAAATCATTAGAAACAACGTAAACATAAAATGGCCATACTTTAAATAATTCTTGGCAAGACATACTTTGGATTGTGTATCGCTCTCTGCCTAGAACACCCAATAACACTTCGTTTATTTGAGAAGTTCACATTGTTGTCATTTTTTGGTTGTTCAGAACTTCTATTATCATCGCCATAGTGTTATTAGAAGCTATTACGGGTGAGGAAAACAGTATTATCCTTATTTACTAGTTGTGTTCAGCCACAGGCAGATGGCAGCCATCCAATTAGCTTACTGAACCTTCGGCCGATATCATTATCACAGTTATATTATCTGGCTGCTCTTTTTAACACATTGTAAATGAAAGCAATTTTAAATGTGAGTATATTGTCACGACAAGCCTATCTGTCCGACAGTTCAGTGTGCTTATAAACAGTAAACACACTGCAGTTCAAAGGTCCTGCCCTCGCGACCGAAATCTTGCCAGGTTGGAGTTTTTGAAACATGATCAAACAATTTGGTAGGATTGAACAGGTGGACAAGGGGCAATCCGATTAAAATATTTCGTTTCGTTTTCTTTATACTTTCGATAGCCTCTACTACATGAAGATCTGACCAGATTGGACAAGGCGGAGCCATGAATTTACCACCGAAGCATTTTAAATACTCAATTTTATTTCTTTTCTTAAAGTACATAACCCTCTAACTATCCATAAAAACGCGAATTAGAATTTAATGGTAGTCCATTTGAATCAGTATTGGACTCCAGATATCCAATATTTAAGACACATTAAGAGAATAGTTGTCGAAACGTCGTGCTATGTGTATAAACCATTGACTAACCAGGCGCAAACGACATTCATCCAATTTGGACCGCTCAGGTATTTCACTAAACATAAATGATTAGAAATTACAATCAATATTTTAAAAACATGAATGTAAATCCGTTTTTATTCATTCATATTACATAATAATGTGTTTTTAGACTCTTTTTCGGTATTAAAGAATAGAGCTCTAACTCACTCCCTTAAATAAAGTCATTCAACGGTCTATATTCCTATGGACATTGTTTGTCGTTCAAAATCATTCCTGGACAGGGAAAACGGAACATGATGAAAAAAGCTATATTTCTTTTCAAAACTTTTGATAGCTGTTCATTAATTTTAAAAAGCCAAATAATTATTTTTATGGCACTGTCTGTCAGATTTCAACAATGGCAGTTTTAGAGAAAATTTTAATTAAATCTTTCAGCTGTAAACAACTTGGACGTAATGTCGTTTTTTTTCCGATTCTGTTATTGACGCTGTGAACTGAAATAATGCATTCCACTTTTATATGTGATTTGAAGTAAACTGTGGACTGATGTGTAAGCTCTGTGAATCTGCAGAAGCGATCTTCATCATACAGAGACAACTAAGAATAATTCTTTTTTAACTGGGTGTAAATCTCGAGGGATAAGAAAGATGGAAATTTGATATCGACTGAAAATAGAGATGGATAAGAGATGGTTATCTGTGGGTCTTTATACAGCTTTATTATTTTTACTTTAGAATGGCTGTCAAGTAAGTCAGACGTCTTTACACTGTTTTAGATTTTTATGAGTTTAAAACTGATTAGAGCTTTAATTATTTATTTCAATAAAATTACCCGATAAGTCACCGTTTCGATATTCATATAAAACTATCTAAGTAATATTAAGGCACAATATATAAACTATTTAAAGACTTATTATTTCCTGGACAGAAACTGTTGTAAAGCTACCGATTTTAATAAACTCAGACGGAAAACGTAACTCAAGGATGTAAGCACTCTGGTCACTGGACTTATTTTTCAAAAGAATTAATTGGAAACGCCACATTATTATCAGTAAAGTATCCAAATAAGTAAAATGACTTCGTTCTTTGAAATCGTTAAGTATATTATTCCTTCATTCTTCCACACTTTGGTTATGTGGATATTATTTGCAACAGGTAAGTGACTATTAGGTAATATATAATATCCTCCCACGGCGAACAAATTCTGAGGTGGTTAGAAGCGGTAGCACTGATAGTACGTTTGATGTGGATAATTAAATCCTTTCAAAAGAATTCGCCGAATTTTCTGTAGCCCTTTGAATTTAGTTAGGGAGTTAACACGACCAATGCCTGCTTTATCTTTGTAGTATAAGTGCTTTTAAAACCTAAGCTAAATCGTCATCCAATGTTTTTCAAAACTCTTATGCAAAAGCAAATTGGTATCTCTTGCCTACTTATTACAAGATATATCTCTCTTACCGAAAGCATCTATATTTTTGAATATTTTACAGAACGATAATCTTTTTAAGAAATAGTAATTTATCTTCCTGCTAACATTGCTTATTGGCAATATTGTTTACCGATAGTTAAGATTCAGTTCAACAAAAAACAATCTGTGCAATATAAAAGACATTATATAACCCACGCTATGCAATTTGCTGATAATGACTCTTACTTTATGATATCATATAAAAATATTTGCATAATATAAAAAAAGTACAAGAATAACAATTGAACTTACTTGCTGATGCGAGTTGAAAATTATCGTTGATATTGATTTTATCAACAGTTACATTGAATTCAAAGAATGGCTCTTTAAAACGACGTTTATGTTGTTTGATGGCATACTCAAAAGCTTTTTGCGACACAACATCATCTCTGGCAAATATACCTCCTGTAATGAACAAAAATTTGTTTATAAACTAGGTCATTTCGGGACTACATGTTATATTTGATTGTAATATATTGTAGTGCTTCGCTTTCTGGTAATGGTCTTGATGAGTGCTAGGTAACTTGAGAAAACGTGGCATGTAACTCGTGACATTTGCATTAATAACAAACCTTATGATCGACTCGTACCGGACACATAATCTCCATAACATCAATGGACAAACATATTGGCTATATGTTGAATTTAAAATTTCAAGCTGTGTGTATTTCAAATTAATGGAACATCTCAAAGACCAACTACATTATCAACCGATTTTTATTAGAATAAATATGTGCTTTTTATTATTAGAGTAGCATTGTTTTTATTAATTGACAAAACAAATCTTTTGATGGATTAAAAGCATATTATGTTACTGTATCCTACAAACCCGCATATTTCTCAAATAATATAGTGTTTGACAACTCAAGTTCTTAGATATTTTTGCAACCAAAATGATGGGTTATCCTATTTTTTAAGCAGGGTGTTGCAGTATCCTGTGATGGTCGTGTGGTATTACTACAGAGATTGCAAGAAGCAGGGGGGGGGGGGGGTGGATGGCTGAATGGTTAGCGTGCGCGTGCTGTATCATAAAGTCTGTCATTGAGTCGACTGGCGTGGTTTCGAATCCCCGGTTGTACGTGACAAGGAGTAGGGTCGCCTGTCCAACCTCGAGGGTTTTCTCCGGGTCCCCCGGTTTCCTCCCACTGCTAAAGACCCCTACGCGCAAGCGAATTATTGAAAGAAAATTAAACCATTTGTTAGTCCCGAAATGACCTAGTTTGTGTCGAGTGGACGTTAAACCCCATCTCTCTCTCTCTCTCTCTCTCTCTCTCTCTCTCTCTCTCTCTCTCTTCAAGAAGCAGAATTTAAACTGTTAGAATTTTTAAATTAAACAAAGTAAATATATTAATATGTAACAATTGGTATGATTAAAGATGAAAATTATTTCCACTTTATATGAAACAATGATTCTTCAATAAAATAAGTATATCTAATGAAAACCAACGAGATGAACTGATGCGCACAAATGTCCACTAATATATGCCTTAGCTAGAATAGGAAGTAGTTATTTTATTATGCTATGAGAGAAACAGTAGTGACTCAGGAGAGTTACTAGTTTATGATTAATCCCCTTTCTAACACCGTGTATTAAACTTCCATTACTCTGCTTGCCTAAATTAATTGTTCTCATGGGGAAGACAATCCAGTTCTCTACTTGAACTCCACTGTATTGATCAAAACTGCCCATTTCTTTGTTTAGTGAATGTAAAGACTATATGTATATTCATGTAGGTGTTTATAGTAAGCAATCGTTTGATGTCAGACGTTTGAATTAGATTATGCAGATGCTTAAATATAGACATATAGACACCAAGTTAGTTTTAAAGTTTGCAAAGAGGGAGTTTAGGGAAATTTTCAAATTTGGGCAGTAATCAAATAATATATTCATTTTTAGTCTAGACACGTACATGATTTTGGAAACAAATTTAACTAATTGACATGAATAGTTCGAGATAAATATAGTATTAATGGGGTTGGCAAAATAAAGTATCAAAAAGGTTTGATCTGATGTTATTTCGATTAGTGCTGCTACAAGCTATTTACGATAAAATTATCAGTTCAAACATTAAGCGAGAGTTAATTTGTTCACTAATTTCAGTTTAAAATATCTTAAAAATATCTTAACGATAAAATTGTCAGTCGACACGATTAAGTGGAAGTTGATTTGTTTACTAATTTTAGTTTAAAATATCGATACGATAACATAAAATCCGTTATATCTCAGTATGGACATTATCCATGAAACTAAAATAAACTGCAATTAAATAATACTTTATTTGTGGCCAAATCAAATGAGACCATCCGTTTTAAGGATGACATATGGATGTTTAGGATTTGTTTTTTTTTTCTTTTTATAAAAAAGTCAACAAATATTAGATAAGTATTAAGGATATAGATAGCCTCTCACTGGAATCATTTTAGGTCTTATCCATTCCATTGATATGTGGGCTTAGTTCGATTACAAAATTTACATTAATATTTAGAATATAATATCTTGGTTTTAGTTGGCGCAAGACTAGTTGATATGTTCAGCTAGTCTTTGTCATAAAACATGGCTGTCTTTTCCCACTCTTGTATTTATTAATCAGTCGGACAACGGGTACTTTTCTTCTTCATTAAATTGACTTATCTTGATTAGGGTAAACCCCATAATTCATCTTTAGTACACAATAAAAATCAGTAATCTTCTCAGTACCGTTAGTCCCGAAATGAGGTTTTCCAATATCTATCCAATATATATTGCACTGCATTCATAACAAAATTTAACAACGTCATCCTTAGGGAACACCATTATTCTGTAAGTCTATTGATGCCATGATATCGGACTACCGCCATGCAATTATCTATATAGGGCCCAGTATGTATTTTATATCTCACAAATGGAATTATCCGCGTACATTTTCCGCCCACATTTACTCGTACTAACTCATAGAATGAGCTCTTGACAATATTTGTATCACAATAGTGAAGATGGTTCGAACCTGTTGATTATTAGTGTTTTACAAAAGTTATCTTATAGTTATAGTTAACATTGCACTTGATTGGTTTGACCTTTTGACCATTTTAAGGATCTTGCTTAAAAATAGCTGGGGTTTGCCAAAATGGACAAAACTGTTAAAACCGTGCGAAAGTTTATCTGAGAGTCATTACCCTTTCCCAAACATTAAAGTTGTCATGATTGTTTGGGATTTACCCGAGGTTTGGCAGAAAGAAGGAAATATGATGGAATTCAGATGCGTGCGACAGTGGATCTGAGTTATTGCCCTTTACCGTTCACTTCCAATAAATCAAAGTTTTCACGATTGTTTTTTTTTTTTTTAGATACGAATAGGTCTATTGGAAGAAGGGGGTAAGGATATGGATGTCGGCGTATATTGCTTCGCCTTACCTCATAATTGTTAACAATATTTAATGTTGTATTGAGGTAGCCTACTGCTCGCAATGTTAATATACAACTATACAACTTTATTAAAATTAAACTTTGAGAATGTTAACCATTAATATAAATACGACGATAGTCCTATTACAGTTTGCATTACATATATTTTAAAACAATGTACTTATTCAGATAGTAACGATTGTATCTTTAAACGCGGTAAATTAATAATAATAATAGTAATTTAACAATGGCCTTTTTGTCATGTTCTATAAAATACATTCAAAGAAGTCCTGTTTAAATGTCAGTTAACTTACCTATAGGTATAATGCCTCGATATGTTTCCACATAATCCAGAAAATAACACGACATAATCAAAACCCTTAATAACAATGCCATTCCCATGGTGTCTCCGTGTTCTTATTTTTAAATATAAAGTTCCACTACACACCCTTTCTGAGAACAATATCCATATTACATCACATTTAATTCAACACAAGACACACATATTTCTGATCACATGTCACTTTCTTGCTCACATGAACGTACAAAAGCTTTAAAAGCCATTATACCCGACTTTCACACAAACTATTCAATTCTGAAACACAAGTCACGCTACCTGAGACAATGTGTTTATTTATCCATAAGACATTCCTTAGTTTTGTCTTCAGAACAATTATAAAATTTACCAAAAATATGACAACTTGCGTTTGTTATTCCACCAGCACGTGTTTTGCTATAAGTAAACCTAACTCATTGTACGCATGCTCTCAACACAGAATCCAGTTAGAGGTAACGGTGGTGTTTTTACTATGTTGTTTATTGATTTTTGTCGAAAGAAGATCGGGCGCAATGATACAATAGCCTGTAAACGGGGCTCCTCGTGTTTCTGACATTGTCGCTAAATCAACTCGTTTAAACCACCCTCTTGGAGAATGTCCGCCTTCAGCCACGTGGACAAACCCCAGAGACGGTTGTTGCTGACTATCCCAGAACAAACTCGATTATGAAGACTTTGTCGCAATCTTTAGACATGTGGGAGTAAGTCTAATCTCAATTATGGCATTTGTTATTATCATTGCGTTGTAATAACCGGAATAAACGTACTAACTGAAAGAATTTAGGTTGAAGTATACTGACTATCATATTCAAATCCCTAAAACTTATTGCTTCGGACATAATCTGTCCATCTATTACACCTTCTAATGTTGATTTTCTCTAAATGTGTGATTCTCCCCCGGGACAAGTAAACGTTCGGTTGTACTTGTAATATATACATATTTGTTAGCCACAATTGCCCAAAGCCGCCCGGGTTAATCTTTCATGCAGTAATTACGAATAAGTTTGGAATAACAATCACATCATTTTAAAATCATATTATCTCAAAATCGATTCATCATTATTCAAGACTTGTAAAATCGAGACTTTAAAAAATAGTAGATATATTCTCCAATGGATTGCTCAATTACGGTCTTGATTAAGACCCCAATCCCATTCCGATATCCTGAAAAATAACTTGTTTAAAATGGCCCTGATTGTCAAAGCAAGACAACCATATAGATATTTTCTGCATGCCCTATCACGTTGCAAGTTGCCAGAAATCTTTGTTTATTAGCAAACTTAACTTTGTCATCGTATATTACCAATAGATGTAAAAGAAAAAAATGGTTATACGTGCAACTTTTTGTGATGACATTTTCACATTTCACTGCATTAAGACATGAATCATTTACACGTAAATTGCTAGTAATGTTCACAATGCTAGTAATTGCTAATAATGTTGTTAAAATAACTAGACCTCTTTGATTTGGAATACAAGAGCGGTGGGGTTGTGACTTCCGTTTTGTTTTGTTGTGCAGATGGGCTGTAGTCTGTTGCAATACGTTTATGGTAATTACTATTATTGTTCTGTACATCACAACAGCTCAACAGTTATTAGGGATTGAAGGGTGTAAATAATAAAAGAAATATGACTTCTGTGAATCTTTGGCAAACTTTCAATGTTTCATGCATTTGATAATTAGAAATTGTGCAGGGTTTAATCGATTACTAAAGCATTACACTTCATTAATCACTTTGGAAACTTTTCAGATAAAACGTGGGAATCCTAAACCTGCTTGTTTTGACAAGCGGATGATTTGATTAGATTATGATTTATTAAATTAGATCGACTTGAAGAAAAGAAAAAGAATAGCACGTCTCATTGTGAGACACTGAATGTGGCAGTCTGAAAAAAAAGAGAGCTAATTACAATTCGTAAGTAATTTGGAAACCAAAACGAAAAGATAACTTAATTACTTTGCAGTACAAATATTGTTTCTGGAATGAACTACGTGCTAAGACCAATAATGTCCTTACATAATGAAGGTTTAACAGAATCTTGGCTATAATACGCGTGCAAATATTGTTCTTTCTGATAGAATTTACCACATAATTTGCAGTTTACGTAATAAGAATTGTGGACCAACTTTGATGTTTCTTTCTTATAATATTTTTCCTTTTAGATATTATAAAATAGATTAGGGAAATGTGGTTGATCTTGCAAAAAAATTAATAGATTATTCTGATAACGTGTCTGGGCAGTGGGTGCATCCTTTTAATTCATTCTGGATCTGAAAGAAGGTCATCGTAATTTACCGTTGTTTCCAACAAGTTGAACGGAAAGATTAAAACAAAATCAGCATATTATTGTACTGAAATGTTTTTATCACGAATGTGGAAGACTGATTGATCTTTATGACGCACAATTTATTTACGGCTTAAAAATAGAAATTCATTCCCCGATGCCTACTAATAAGAGAATGTTTCATCATTCCAGTCAAAAATATTGGCAAATTTATATTTTATGATATCCTTGAAAGGATGGAGATAATTTTTTCCCAGACAAACTAGCGCCGTAGTAAGATATTTCATGGTGATTATATATGATTCTTAACAAAGAAACGCATGAAATATTCAGAATGATGAAAAAATACTAACTTCAATTTTTAAACATGCCACTTTTAATACATTGGACAGGAAAGAACGCGTAAATGTTGTCAGCTTTTGTTAAGGTAAAGGCGATCACCAAGTCTTAACCATCCCCTTGTCGTCTTAAGTTGAAATCTCTGACAAATCCATCGACCAAGGTCTCTAATCGCTGGCAAGGCAACATAAAATCTAATTACTGTAGTGAGGCTATGTTAGGACTCGATGTTTATGATTTGATTCACCGGTTTGCAAGAGCCTTGTCTGAAGACATCGATGGTGATTTCTAAGTTGGTTATTACTGAAAATGAATAGAAGTGGAGTAATGAACACTACAGTGAATAGTGGAAGAACGACAAAGATTTATAAACTTGTCACGAAAATTGCTGAGTAGGAATAATATTTATCGTTTTCTTGGTCGAATCGTGATGGAGTTTCTTGTTGCTAGTAATTGATGCTGTAATTTTGAATGGTAGAGATATGCAATAATGATAAGTGAAATAAATCTCTGTCTAGCACAAGCATCAGTTTAGATATAGATCTATGCCATTAATCTCTTTGAGTATCGGTTGCTTGTTCCTTTGGATGTTAGCTCTCTTTTAAATTCTAATAAAATTATCTTAAATTTTCACTTTTGGGCAGGAACACTCATTATTTCCCCTTTCTTACTCGTTTTGTATTAGTCTATAAAATTTTCATGTCGAAATATCACAAATATTCCTTGCAGATCTTTAGAGAACAGACTCTAATTGACCTTTTGTTAATTTTTTACCTAAACATAATTTATTATATTTTCCAAGCCTAGTTTAGGAATTTGAACTAATTGCCAACATCGTTTTATTCAATAGAAAGTTAACGAGTTTTAGTAAAAGAGTATCCTAAACATAATTTATTATATTTTCCAAGCCTAGTTTAGGAATTTGAACTAATTGCCAACATCCTTTTATTCAATAGAAAGTTAACGAGTTTTAGTAAAAGAGTTTTGACCTGCAAATACCATGATTAGTTCGGGCTTAATTAATAGGATAATCTTTAACAAGGGTCCCATTAGAGACTCCGATGCATTGAATTTAAATCTACATGGCACGCTTAGACTACCTACAATATGGACTATTCTATTGATGCCAAGAATGCTATCTTTAAAAAGAACTACATGCCGGACACGGTATGCTTTCTATTACACCTGATACCTCTTTTACGAAGTTCTAATAGCTAAAACATTTTGTTACAATTTCGAATTTATTAGTTCATAGCTCTTTGCAGTTCTTCTATTTCAAGTGATTTTAACAATTTAATAATACAGTTGAAAGTTCCAGTAAGGCGTTGTGGATCATTTGAAACATACATGCCTTAATTAGCACTGAAAACAATTTACCCCTAAAGCTCTCGCCGCTCCCCCACCCTCTCTCTGGGAAATATCTTCCAATCTGGATACGTTTTAAATTATAAGTGGTACACCATTTTGAGGAAATTGAAAAAAAAGGTCAGCAATATACTCAGAGTACCTCCCATAACTAGACCGAGCGTTATCAATAGGAAATATATTTTGAATTTAATTACAAGATGTTATTATTTAATCTAATTTTAACAAACCACTTGTCACCCTTCTGAAAGAGCATTAATGTAAATGATACCGACAGGCATGTGAGAACATTGTCGCCAGTGGTCATTTATTTTGGTTATTTAGAATTATCAGCAGGCCTCTTTGGTAACGTTCGGCTTAAGCATTCAGTAAACATTGTACACGGGGGATTGTTGAGTTTCGTGCACGACACTTGCCGTTACTATTAGCTAATTGGAAGAAGAGTCGGGGGATTTCCAAATTTAAAGCTAATGGGTATACGGCTAAATAGGTGAACGTTGTTTACATGACTACCCAGTTTAAGGAAAAGAATCAGCAGCTAGAAAGACAGCTTTAGAATTTCCCTCCTTAAATTAAAACATACACGTATTTAAATTGATTGGCTTGCTCGATATGTCTCTATATGGTGTCTATGGTTTTGTCTACTCCAAGATAAATTGCTTTTATTTCTGCCTGGTGATGACTTTGCCTTGGATCTAATTAACAAGTAAACTTGAGTGAAATCACAAGAGAATTCAAGTACTGTTTGCGCCTAATTAAGACTCAGCTGGCAGTGGCACGTAAATGATTCTTAATGGTGCTTGTGTGAGTACGACCAATTTTCTCTAGTGTTCCAACGTCGTCTGGTCAAATAGACACAAAAATATTCCACCTCTAAAAAAACCTAGCTAATGAATCGGGAGAATTACTAGATGTTTTGTAACTTAACAATGTTATATCAGACAGTTCTAAAATGACATAACATTATTTAGTGTATAACCTGACTTTGTTGGTATATAACTAGTTTTGATATCCACCAAAGGGGGATTTGAATATTGCCCCACGAATCTCCAGTATGCTATCAGAAATGCATTGTAATGAAATGAAACGGGGTTTAACGTCCTACTTTTCAGCACCAAACGGGATAATGTAGAGTGTGCTATGAACAGCGGCGCCTACGACCTGCTCTTATTTCGAATTCCAACTGTCACGTGTACGCCAACATGTAAACAGGACCTCGTGTTCTCGTCCCATCCAAACGACTAGACGCTGTTCCTTGCCCTACACCCTTCATCATTGATAAAGGAAACTACGCCGGAAAATCTCCAGGCACTAGCATTTTAATATTACTCCATTTGACGAATGAAGTCGATCGCTGGATTGGAGTATTTTAGTGTTTTATTCCGGTTTCTTAATATATTTGTCTGTCATGGGTAAT